ACGATTTTGACAAAAACTTGGAGCCTCTCGTAGGTTAGGATGTAATCTATAAGTCACTGCTGAGTCGATGTGCGGCCTCTTTTGATATACCGTTGAATACTCTCCGTGGTTATACGCAATTGGGCAGGCCGTACGGAGTGAGGGATATGTGTTCGGAGCATAACCGCAATTTGGACGGTACATAATGACTTGTTTCAAAGGCACGTCCAAACGGCAACCGTTAATAATTCTATCGAGCCAAAAGTGTAGGACGTATCGATTATCGGGGACCGTTCGTTATCGTTACCGGAATTATCGTATAATAATATTGCCGTAGTGGTTTTCTCGAACAATGGAATCTCATCGATAAGAACTGATATAGGCATATTTTAAAGTTAACAAAACCATTATCGACATAGTTCCGAAGAGAAAGATGCCGTGTGACACGATACCTCATGCCGTTCCGAATGTATAAGTTAAAAATCTAATCTTAGCTTGGATAGATAGGCAAAGAACTTTCTAGAACCGATGACTCTTAGGACGAAACCTGTCCTAGTTGCATACATTACCATTAAGTTTTTAAGAATTTGACCGAGTTTGATGGAGGAAATTTTGTTTGATAGTTGCCTAAGTACAATGAGAAATTTAATATTATATTTATTATGTGTACAAAAATACAATTGCACCATCTAAGGTAGTACGCCATTAGCTATAAGGGTGCCGAGAAGCGGAATCTGTGCTCTTTAATTACGATACGCGAACAGTTCTCCAGAAACGTTCTCAAACGCTGTATGATGAGATCAGCAAAAAAACGGTAGCCCCAGCCTTTTTCTTGGAATCGCCCTACATGAGGGTAGGTCGTCCGGATTGTCTTCTTTGGTGATGACGTTTGGGGGACATTAGCCTAGCTGACAGGCGTTGATACCGTAGGCAGACGCTGAATAGACTTGTCCGCTATTCATGCGCTTATCGTGGATTAGATCCGATCTTTCCGCTGTTTTCTGCTGAAACTACTCTCAAAAAAAAACTGAGTACTTAAAGCATGCACAACCCTGCCCCCAACGTTTTGCGTTACCAGTCCCCGAACTGGTATATGAACGACCCTTTGCATAAATGAGGGTCGTTCATATACCATGTAAAAAAGCTCAGTCCGTACGATTGTGTTCAGCCGCGTAAATAGGTCTGCCGTACTCGATTAACACTGTGAAAATGATATCATGGTATCATTTGTGTGACTCTTTTCCTAATTGTGCTTAATTTTCCTGGCTCGTTATTCTGTAGCGCAAACTGCTGTGGACGGGCTGACTTGTAGTCGCTACTCCAACGTATTCGAAAGCCGTCAAGCGGCCCTATAGCTGGCTAGTTTTCTCACTCAGCGCAGTGCGACAGAGGCTAGCTTAAAACTCATCTGGAAGCACCGGCCCAGTTAGCATGGCCCCGGGTAGGTTACGAAAGATTTCAGCACTTTGTCAAAATATCAGTGTAGGTATCGATGCCTACGAATGAGGGGCAGGGCTTTTAGCTTGGCGCCTAGTTCGGTTAGATCCGACATTTTTCGCAGTCTAGCGTTCTTTTTTGCGGAGTTGCTTGTTGCTAGCAATTCCATTTCGGCCAGTACAAACTATTTCAGAGCGCTTCCCTGCCCCAGTGGGTTATTTTTTCCGTTTGCAAGATCGACGCAAACATTTCGCTTACCAAGCATTCTATGTAACACTTAAAAGTGTACATATCATTATCGGAGAGCTGACATCACCAGGAGACGATGAGCGAATTAGGTAATATGCGCACGCAAAGGTCGCTAAGTTTATCGATCCTTCAATGCGGACCCCACCGGTTTCATCACCCGCTGTAAAAACTGATTTTTTTAGAGGATGCATCTTTACAGCGGCGAAAACGTCCTTTGCCACGACAGGCGAATTTGAATGTTTGATCTGATGGTCTCACAAGCTTTCTACACACATTTGAATTTTTCCCTTCAGGCGATCGAACTTAATCGCTTAATAACACTTTGTAACTGAATAATGAATCAAGAATCTCGCACACGAACCGTTCCATTGTTCGATCTACGACTTGAACGTTGCAAATCTTGCGTCGCCGTCTTAGAGAGTAAGAGGGGGATGAGTCTGAGTGAAGCCGAAGTGATCGTTGCCTCAGAAGCTGCGCGCTAAACTCTTGGAGCGGCATGTGTACAGGTTACGTTCGATGCTCTCCACACACCTTGAGCAAGCAGTCAAATTGGTTACCTCTTAAAACAAAGCGGTTAGCCGGCGACAATAAGCGTTTTCGATTACCAGCTGAGGCCTGTCAATGGTCTACGGTTTTGTTAAGCGCGTTGCTATAGAGTCATAGCTGGTAAAATTGTTGCCACTCTGATTTAAATCTTGGCGTTGGTAAACAATATATATATAATCAGAGTCTAATAACCAAGAAACTATGACATCAAGGAGAAATACGAAATTATTTAAAGCAATAGCTGCTCATACGATTGCCATGCCATTTCACAGATTTGTTGGACTAACCCCAGTTAAGTTTGGCGAAACCGACCCCAGTTGGACTCCTGGGCCGAGGTAAGGCCCCGATGCCATTCTTGAAACTTCGAGAACCTATTCACATAGAAAAAGCTAGTAAAGAAGCTAACAAGATGAGACATACCCCGCTACGAGTGCAGAATCTTTAAAAGTCAGTATTAGTTGTTGAGTCTACTCCACCCCTTATCCCTCCGTTTGCGACTGCTTGAATCGATCTGAGCAGGTGAGTTATTTAAGCATCAGAAGCTGTTCGAGGCGTGGACCACTCAAGGATAAGCCTTTGGAAACATCGCCTGTGAAGGCACTTAGAGTTTTATAACCCTGATCGAGTACTTAGAAATACCGTTCGGGCGATTCATAAAGTGAGCACAGAACGAGCAGTACATAGCGAACCCGAAATGAAATCGCAGTAAACTAGAGAGCTCAAAGACACAGGACCGTTCCGTTCGAAAGTTTAAACAACTAAACGTTTCGCTGTGGAATAAGTTTTGAACAATTATAAGTGTAAGACCAGGTAAAGTTTCAGTAAAGATCAGGCGAAGCTTTTTACATAGTACTTTTATAGCGAATTACATATCGGCGATTTAAGCGTCATAGGATCATGTGACTTTATCAACGTTCTGTAATATCCAAACTTGCTTTTTTTTTTTCAGAACAGCCAATTTAGCTTTAATAATGTCCTTAGGCCCTGCTTGGGCCTGTGAGACAGATAATCGGTACGTGTCAAATGCTACAAATAAATATTTCGCCTTACACAAACAAATAAAACATTACGATTGTTATTTTTTTAGCTACTACACCTTACCTTTTACAAATCATGCTTAATATTGAACCACGCAATTCAATACCACGCAAGCCGTGAGATGCATCGCCACGTTCCACCCCATAGTAATGGAAATTCTACTCTATTGTTCTACACCTCATTTCAGCCTTTCGTTGTAGAGACGTTTTTCTTTGTAAGAAGAACCGTCATAGAAAAACTTCTTGGGCAAATATGTTGATTCGAACACGCGATTTACCCGAGAGCTATAGCACCAGCTTTCATGTCGCCTTTGCTAACGCCACTGACATTTACGAAAGCCCTATATTATTTTACAGTATCTTAATATTGCTATTTCTTTTCAGTTGATATAAGGTCATTGACTAACTCTGCCTAAGATAGCCATTTCTTTTTTTAGTTATTCTTAGACCTTTGTTCCTAGTGAGCTTTTTTTTTGGTCGTACTCGCTGCTCTGCCGTCCCGATGTTAAGCTTCCTGTCATTAATTTGATAATTACTCCGATTAACTCGTTCGAAATAATGTTCGGGTACCAAAACTTAAGTAACTTTCTAATATAGTTTGTGGCTGGACAGCCAGATGCGGGGTTCATTTTAATTCGAAGTTACGAAAATAGTTGACTTCGATGATTAAGATACGATTTGGATTCAACCAATTTAGATGATTATTACTAAAATGTTGATACGCCTTTCTTTTTTTAGTATCGTGTGCACAGTAGTTGAAAAATGCATAAATAAGTTATCGGAAAATGATAGTATCTAGGCGTATTGGTTTAAGGTTCGTTTTGGGCTTGAAGTACGTTCCAGGTGGCAATTTTTGCAATTGCCGATTCAAATAAAATAGCTCCGTTGACAGCTTAACTTATCTAATAAATCACTTACATAGAAGCGAAGGGAAATACTAAAAAAAACACGATATTGTTTTTAAATCAAGCTAGCCATGAGTTCTATGGGGCGACCTAGATTGAATTAAATAGTTTACTTCTGGAATCGTTTGGCTCTTCGAATAATTTCCAACTGGCTCTTTTTATGTATACCATACAAATTGTATTTGGTTTCAGGGAAAACTAAAGATTTTTCAGTAATAGGTCCTCGTCACGCATCTATGACCTCTCTAGAGAATAATTAGATTCATAAATGAAAGCATGCCACGAAGGAATGGAAGATACGACCCCAACATCGATAAGATAAAGCCGATGCTACTGGTCCGCTTCATTCGTTCAACATCAGAAAATAACATTGTTTCCCGCGCACCCTTGACCCTGCTATTGTTTAGACATAGGAGCGAGTGAGCAGTGCGGGTCCCATCTGAAAGTAGCTAAAAAGAAGCAGAATAAAAAGGAATTCCGTCCCTCATTATCCGGATCGTCGTCTGAGAGTTCTACCAGTCACGTGAGATTATACCATGTGAGTCCCGGTGACACCGGCGCACTACTAAGTTGGTTAATACCATTTTACTATACTAATCCAATGAAGTCGCAGTATCGTCCTGATAACAGTAGCTCGGTTCGTTTTTTCCGTCACCCTTCCTAATATACTCGCTTCACTTATCGGTACAACAAGAAAAGCCGTCTCGTTATCTGTTTGGGGGCTTCGTATCGTATGAAACCTAGAGCAGTGGTAGCGACACTTAAATCTACGGCTACGATCAGTAGTGTTGTTGGCGCGTACGACGAAAGATCTTTTTATTTACACAGGCTGTACAGGATACGATTATAAGCCGAGATCACCCCCTATAACTTTGTGGCGCTGATGTGTATCAAGGACATTTCGTTGAACGCCGGGACCCGCCATCCGGCGGTTGGGTCGTGTTTAATAGTAGAAGCAAAAGCCGAAAATCAACGACGAAGTCTGCTACCTGAAAATGTTAATTGAACTTTATAAGGTACTATTTTTGCCCTGCTCAAGCGCCGACACCTAACGGGCTTAATATAGGACAGGTAATTAAAGCGATTTTGCAGTAAACTATGACTATATCTGGTAATATATTGTTGTTCATGATGCATCCCTATGTTCCATAGGTAACGCCGTTTTACTATTTCATATGGAACGTGTGTTTGCGCCATAGGATCTAGTTCTTTAGTTATCATTGCCGTCGGTTTATTTTCGTTAAAATTAAATTTTGAACGTTTATTTATGGCAGGATGTGGACTTGCGCTGACCTCATTATTTTACCTGTGCTGTCTTCCTTTCTTGAGGAAACTAGGCGGGGGTGGGGGGTCACTGTGAACAGCGCGTTAATTTTGACGGTTGAGCGGGGCTCATGGATAGCAAATCAACTTGCTTAGACTCTTTTTTTCAAATGGTGTATATATATAGCAGATTCAAGATAAGTTTGTTATTTCTTTTTACAACACATAAAAACTATGACATGGGGATAGATGTGTTTTAGGACGCAATGTGCGAGATTCAGTGTTCGTGTTTCTAGGCAGAATTTTAGATGTGTCGAACAATCAGGATAATGTGAGTTCATCGCTTGTCGTATTATTGACAGAAGTTACTTCTTCAGATCATCTTCGCTAGGAAAGATCGCGAATGTATAAAACGTTTTCCTTTATACAGCCCCAACTGGTGTTAATGATATCATTTTGTTCTCTGGTAAAAGCCTATCAACCATCACTTTGTAGGGCCAGGCGCCGCTTATAAATGGAATAGAATAGGTTTAGTCGGCTATGGCGAATCGAACCAATGTCGGACATCACCCTCTATCGTCCGTACAAACATGAAAGTGACAAAATGATGGCATTGAAAGCAAGTGACATATAAAGACGGCCAACTATTGTGCGGTCACATGTTAACAAAGTAGCTGATCGAAAGTGATGTGTGGAAAAAGATGTTTACAGAAAAAGGTCACATCAAAATGTCCTTTAGTATTGTTGTTTTTTGTTATTTGTCCTTTATGTTTACATTAAGGTTCAAGTTGACAGATGAAATGGGAGAAATGTTACTTTCACTCGAATGGCTTCGTATTGCGGGCTATTTGTTACTGTGCATGATATAAACACAGGATAAACAAGCTATAAAACCGCTGCTGCTATCGTGCATAACTGACAGGCGCACATAGTAGTTAGATCTAGGTCTAATAGTCTGAATCAGTCAGACTTTGTCATCAAAATGAACACACGGAATCGATTAAGGCATTATTTTACTGAATGGGTCTAGCAGACCAATGATTTTTCCCACCTGACTGTAATGTACGAATCCTGCAGGTGGGTTGCTACTTAGATAACTGCTACGGTAATAAAAATGTCCTTTTAGCTAGGCCACGAACATTTCTAGACCCAATCAAAAGCGTAAAATAACGATTATAGCTTGCAGTGGCCATGTCCGCTAAGGATGTCAACTGGTGGCCATTTCTATGACAGCGTGTACTTTTCTTCAAAGTATCAGAATATTTTAGTCTTTATGGATGCATCGCTCTAGAATAATCTAGACTTTCTATATAAAGCCGGTCCCTTTATAGTAATTAGCTTTTTCATCCTAACCGTCACTAGGTCGGCAACTCGTCCTTTTAGAGGCGCTCTTCTGTACGAGACTCCACAGACCTTCAAGGTATTCTTTAACGCGCCTGTCCTCGTCATCACTGGCTCCACCCTTCGAGGTTTTTAAGGGCGGTACATAGCTGATTACGGGGTCTGGGTCGTGAAATAAGGCTTTCCTAAATTGACAAAAATAGAATATAACAATTATAATAGCTACACGAACACTAGATATAGACAAAAAATTAAACATGGTTCATTGTCAAGCTATACAAACATCTCAGGAAAGGTTATTCGAAGGTCACTGTATGCAAACAGTTGTGAAGAGGTTATTTCTACAGATATAAAAATCTTCGGCGTCCCGATTGGCGTTCAGATCTAACTTGAGCCGAGAGTTGCAGTAGATGTAGACTCTTTTTTCTACTTTGCTACACATATGAGTCGGTCAATGAGATTGGTGAACTCGACTGGCAAGTCTAGCTGTGCTAAGCTTTTCCTAAGGCGCCATTCATCTCCGTTGCCTATTCGCTCATCAATAAGTTGACAAAAAGAAAATAGAATCTTCTGCTCTACGTTAATTCTTGCTAATAGCGGGAAGCAATAGCCGGTTCAACATAAATTGATAGACGATCGTCGTTGAGGGCTAAACCAGTCTTTTCGATCCAGCAAAGACGGTCTCACCTTTTAGCTGGCCTCGTGAATGGCGCTGCTTCAGAGCAATCGACGTCGTCTATAGAAACATCCCTCGGCTCCGTAGGATTTGCCAGAACTTTAATGTCATCGGCCCTCGGATTAGCCTGCTGCGACGTCAGTTCCGCAGTGTTACCAATTTCCATATCACCGGCGGCGCCCTGCTCCAAAATGGACTCCACTTCGCGCGTGTTTTGAATTGGCTGGATTATGTCAATTGGGACCGTCTGGGCATCGAGCCATATTGATGACGCGCCATTTTCACCGCTCGTGTCGCATTCCGTTTGTGAAAGTATCCCGGTATCCACAGCATTGCCACCGTCCACGCCTTCGGTGGGCGACAGCTTGTTTTCAGAGCTGGAAATCTCAATTGAAGTGCCTTCTTTTTCGATGAGGCTTTTCCGTTCAACTAACAGTGGATCTCCCTGATCCCAGGAAGCACATGGTTTGCGCTGAAGCATTTCGACATCTACTGATAATTGACACGAATGTAGAAGTTAGCAAGACATTATCACGAAACGTTAACGTTATACCCTCTGTGATATTTCAGGCTCCTGCGAAGTACTGCGACTATTTATTGACAGAGAATTAGATCTAGCGGTAACATCTTTGCTGTTGATGTAAAAAAATGCTCAGGACAACGTACAATCAAAGATAACCTTGATCCCTATCTAGCGATAAGACTAAACGAACGAAATTTGACGACTAATTAAATATACCACACTCCTCAGCGGACGTCAAGCGCCGGACACATCTGTCATCAGCAGCTCCGAGTAGAAGGTTAGGCAGTAAAATAAATAGTCCAAAGGAATGTTTTAGTTTTATAATCATTAGACCTTGTTTCAATCTGCTGGCTTTTTTGCCTAATGAATCTCTGATTGCGGCATGATAACAATATGCCATACTAAGCAACCCTGTCAACGCTGAAATTTGGACGAGTGATGGTTGCATATCCGTGGTTATCATAAACAAGATGGCTACGCACTCAGGGCATTCGAACGTCGGGACTAAACGATTCGTTCTTTTAGGAAGTAGTTACCTTTTACGCTATTCTCCTCTTGCTGCTTCGAATCAATGTGAGTCCCTCTGGCCCGTTCGGACGACTGACTTCCGTTGCCTCTACCCGGCGGAAACTTTCTGCGTTTTCGTTTCGAATCGAGTTCCTTTAATTGGATCCGTAGCCCTTTAATATCCTCTTTGTATGAAGCAATTTCCGCATTGAGTCTACAAGACTGCTATATTTAGTTAATTATTCAAATTTAATAGAGTAGGTAAGGGTAAAGATGAAGTAAAGATTTGTTAATGAGGTTGGTGGGACATGTAAAGGAACAAAAAGCGGAATAACCGCAAAAAAACGATTGAACATTTGAGGGTAACAGTCAATAAATGGCTAATCTTCTAGTATAGGATAATAAGAGGCATGGAACCATACAGATCTTTGAAGGTTTAGCGCCGCAAGAAAACTTTTTCTCGTTATTAATAACAACTGTGACTAATAATAATAAATACGTAGATTCGCTGAGTTTGGTATGATAAGAATGGGCGAATGTAGTGTAGTCAACTAGACAAACGTGTGAGTCGTACTTAAATTCATTTGCTCGACATCTGCATGATAAATCTGCTCATAGTATATGATCCGAAGGGGCTTTCTTACTAATTATCCTACATATTATAGTCACCTTAGCTTAAAGAAAAGTAGTCAACGATTGAGAGCGTTTCCCAGAATGCATAGATTCATTAAACGCTAGTATGATTCTACCAAGGCCGACTCTACTAATTCTAGTTACGCTACATTCCATGCTATCTACCAGAATGACGACTGTAACTTGCTTCAACTTACTCATGTAGCTTCTTTTCGCGGCTTTGGCGAAATTGCGCAAGCTTCTCCTCGCAGCGTTCGTGTCCTTCTTGTTCCCTAAGAAGCTCTATTGCATTTTTGTGCCGCTCGTTGATTTCGTCCAGTGTCGACTCTATCAACCTCTTCAAATACACGTCACAATGACACACAATCAACGCTTACTATTCGACGTTAATTATAGCTATTATTTTATAGGTTATTTTTATCACCGTTACAATCGATTGGCCCCAGGTTATCTTCGTCCCACACTACAGAATAACGTTTTCAACGTAGACTTACCCCTTACGGCGGCCATATTACTAGTTAATCGGTACTTACTCCGGTTTACTTTGACGCATTCTATGAGCTATCCTTATAATTCATTCGGCTTTTTAAACTTTGCAGTATATTACAATATAATCCATTATATTTTTTTATGCCACACATTCGACGCTTCGTACGCGTATCTTGTTTATTTTTTCAGTCTTCGTTTGTACCGAGTCATCGAAGCCTTCATTTCTAGCGTGTCCTCCGAAGTGTTTTGATTTCGTATTACTCATACACTCGGTATTACGCTTAAGCACCACCTTAGACACATATGCAGGCGGTTCTTCCTATAATCTTGTTATCGGCATAAGTAGATAGATTTGTGGCGAACATATGAGGGTAGCCGAACGAACTTTTACTTATGCGGCTTTCTCGCCTAATTTTTTTCTCCATCTACACTGTACATCTTCACAGGATATCTGATTCATATATTTCATAGCGTCTTGAAGTAGTTTTTTTTTAAGTTTTTGGTAGTTTTTGTCAGTATTTTCCTGTCTCGGCCTAAATCTGCTGCGAACACAGGATGCCTCCGTATATATCATTTCCCTGTCCTGTGTCATTGAACGCTCATTTTTACGGATTCTCCTGTTATTAGCATCTTTGTATGTCGGTAATAGCCTCCTTTACTTAGAGCCACCTCTATTAGGGGCATTAGACTTATACGGGCACACGCAGCCCAGTTTATGCAAGGCAAGTTAAGAGCATTAGAGGATTTCTTACCAGTCGTTGTGAAATACGGGGCGCAGAGTAGGGTCCATGTTTAAGACAAAGAAGCTAAAGAATCTTAACTGTACTATTCTAGGCTTTATATCCTTCACATTGAAATTGCAGGGCACATACACACTCTCATACCCCGCCAAAGAAGCAAAAGGGGAATGGTCTACAACCCATAGGCAACGCAACAGCGTATAGGACTCTTTCACTTGGTTGGTTGGACTTCGTATTCGGTTGCTAAGTTCTATCGGTTCCCTGTAGCCTTTCATGTTGAAACTGGATCACAAGGCAGAACGTTATACGAACAATCTAGTCAAACACAAAACATCCCACAACTACGGTGAGCTAGAGAGAGTTGGCAGAGGTTTTTTCTTTAGCTATGATTGCCATAAAGCAAGTCACGCGGCAAACCCAGTGTGCTCTCCTAAATACCAGGACCTGATAGAAGTCCGCCGACGGAACACTTTTGCGCGTCCGAGGACAGCAAGGCACAGAAGAGAAGAAGTAAGAATTCTACTCTGTTTGCTGTAACGGAGCGTAACCCAAAAGGACCCAAGGTTGGTTAGATAACTTTCATATAAATAAAGTGTGCCACATGCTACTGGATTCGTGAATCTGCCTCTTATATTTCACGAAAAGCTGGAATAAAGCCGGCAAAGTGGCAACGCAATTTCTAAAGACAACGAAAAGGCTACTTACGGTTAGACTGCTTGGAGAAACAGGTGGGGCGCCCTGAAGGCACTAATCTCTCTACAAAAGCCTATAATATTTGGTAACTGATAAATCGGGCTCTTGAAGTGACACCTAAGGGAGGAGCAGACCTTATTCTCCAATAAAAATTAAAAAAAAATAAGTACTGAATTCAGGGCCCTTAAACTAACTGTCGTTTCGTATCAGGATGGTTACTAATGTAGTACGAACTACATTTGTGCCTGTTTTGATGGATACGAGCAGGCTTTTAGCACTAGTAGCCTAACCTCCCTTTTCTTACTTCAGCAGGAGAAACGTCCCGTCGCAATATGTAAGTTTCTGTAGTACGCAAAACGTTAACTTCTAACTCTCCAGCTACGTCATATGGTGTTCATTTCGATTCATTTCCATACCCACTTGTATACCTATATTTCATCCCTTCATGTCTGATTCCTGATTTTCATCCATTGACGTCCCTGTCAACGCTTTCCATTTTGATTTAGTTTTTTCAATTTTTTTATTCGGTTTCGATTCATTTTCTGGGTTTTCCACAAGCGCATCATCTGTTCTCCGACATTTATGTTATTATACTTGCTATGCATATTATTCCGTTCCTACTGAAGGATTTCCCCTAGTGCCTCTTTGAAATCGAGGAGGCCTGAATAACGAGAGCGTTAGCTTATGAGGTAAGTTAGGTCTCTCGCTCTCTCGCTCTCTCTCTCTCTCTCTATATA